TAATTTGTACTGCAACTTGGTTGGTGCAGAGAATATTAACAGCTTTCACCAAATTCTGATTTTGTATATTTATGGCCTATTAATTAATTACATGACATGACTCATATTCATAGATTAATTAGATAAAATCTGTCGATAATTTTTTTTTTTTTTTTTTTAAAAATGTAATTAAATGAGACAAAAGATTTATTTGTGTGACGTGACTATTTGTAGTCGAAAAACTCACGGTCCCAACCCAACAAATTAAACCTACTACTTACTTTATTTTTGGTACCATTATGAATCAACGCTCATTCATATGACAACCCAGGTGTACGTATACATTCAACCATATCAATGTGGTTGGGTAGGTCTCCTTCCGTGCCTTTCCTCTCTCCCCATTACTATGTATATTTAATTATTTTGAAAATAAAAAATAAAAATAAGAGTAAATTACTAAATTACATTTTTATGTTTTAAATTTATAACAATTTAATTTTTAATATTTTTCATAATAATCTAATTCTTAATAATGAGGTTTTATTTTTAATAAAAAATTAAAATAATTAATTTATATTTAAATATTTTAAAAAATAATTAAAATTTTGCATGCGCTTCGTTACGTTACGAGAGTGAATGCTTTAAAACCAAAGTATTAATAATTCGTAATTATCCACATAATAACTATGCTTCATTTACTACATGCACATGTATACATATATTCTAAATTTATGATAAGCCAAGTGTGTTCCGTAATATAATTATATATATATATATAACTAAGATACTTATATTGAATTTTTTTACCTTTACTAATTTAATTTTGTTGTTCATATTTAAGTATGAACTAAAACACTATGCCAATAATGACTTTAATGAAAATAATATTTTATATCCAATTTTTAAGAAATATGTATCTTAATAAGTTAAAATATAAATTTATCATATTATTAAAGTGAATATATAAATAAGTTGGTTTAACATTGTAAAGCTCCATTTTTTTTTTTTATTCCTAATGACGTAGTTTATAACAAATCCATAATCAAATACATAAATTTTGTTTCAAGTTAGACATGCACATAGAAACATCATCACAATCTATTGTTTAGAGTTAGGATAGACCGACAATCATACATGTAACATCACGTGAAATACAACTATATGCACTATCAACAAACATATTATCAACTCTACTACCAACTTTTACACATTTAATTCTGTCCATAAAGATCCTTATTCTGTTGCTCTATACACTAGACTCGGAAACCAGCAACTCTGATCCCGACTCCATTTCTACATCGTCTGTGAACAATAGAGGGTGAGTTCATATAACTCAGTACAGTAAAAATTAAGTTACAATTATAATATGCACAAATATGAAACCCAGTATTTCTATATGTACCCCATCACCCAACTTAAACCTACCTTGTTATCACTATGAGACTACGCAGGACTAA